TTCTTTTCTCCAAATAAAAAAAAAAAATTGAACGAGAAAAGAAGATGTCTTGTTGGATAATTCAAGTTTCTCTTTATATATATGGATGGATTTATTTGCTATTCTTCTTCGCTAAGTGCCTAAGACTAGAGATCTCTCTTCGATAATTTGGCTGATTCATTCACTGAGTAAATGGCGACGGTAGGAGTCGACGCGAGGCGTCCTGAAACTGCGATGGAGGAAGTCTGCAACGTCAAGGGATCGGTGGCGAAACAAGGAGAAGGGCTTAAGCAGTACTATCTCCAACACATCCATGAGCTCCAGCGTCAGCTCCGGCAGAAGACGAACAACCTCAACCGCCTTGAAGCTCAGAGGAACGATCTCAATTCTCGAGGTCTTTTCTTCCTTCTTTTAACCCTAATTTCTCCCTGTTTCGGACGTATTTCTCTGTTAAATTGGATCATGTTCTTGGGTTTAGTGCTTGGGATTTCGATTTCGTTCTCCTTGGAGGTGGGTGCTTTTAAAATTTCTAAATTTTTTGTGGCGATTGTTGGGAACTTTGGATTGAGAGTTTCCGATCTGGAAGTGGTTGGTGGCGATGGGATCTTCTCTGTTTGATATTTTCCAGAACTTGACCTAATTCTTCCACAATGTGTTCTTTTGAGTTTTTAGCAGCACTAAGTCACCCGATTCTGCTTGATTCCTCCCATGGATGTGTTGAGTATATTATAAGCTTATATCTTCGAGTTGATTGTTTAGCAAAGTATATAGTGAGGATGAGGATGAGAGACAGAATTGGTAGAACTGTCAGTGCTAGCAGCACAATTAGATTGGTTCATGATCATAGAAAAGCTGAATCTTTTGTCTCGAACATGTTCTGAAGTAAACTGCTAAATGCCATGATTTGAGTGCCGTATTTTGGCTGCTTATAAATTTTCTTGAATGGGACTATCAACTGCCAAAAAGAGTTGTTTCATGTGAATGTTACCGTGGCAAATGCATAGCTGTTACTACTGCTTCATTGGTTGTCTGACTATGTTCTTTCTTACTCTCTTATGTGAGTAATATACACTCATGGGAGGAGTGCACATAAGGAGTCATTTCCACTAATCCATGCCTTGAATAATACACTTAAACTTATAGAACAGACTCAGTGTTCATATTTATGCTTTAAAGTTTTATTATTAGTCTTTATAATTTGAAGTTAATTCTAATTTAAAACCTCTTTGACACTATAATTCTTTCTAAACTGAACAGTACGAATGATCAGAGAAGAAGTGCAGCTGCTTCAGGAACCTGGGTCCTATGTGGGTGAAGTGGTAAAAGTGATGGGAAAAAACAAGGTCTTGGTTAAGGTATGAATCTTTATATCGTATTGTCTAGGATTAACTTGGCTTTGTATTGTTTTTTCATCTTATGAACATGGTTATTAATAAGGTTTAAACTCCCATTTTCCAGGTTCATCCAGAGGGGAAGTATGTTGTTGATATTGACAAAAGCATAGACATAACGAAAATCACACCATCAACGAGAGTTGCTCTCCGTAATGATAGCTATGTCCTCCACCTGGTCCTGCCGAGCAAAGTAGATCCGCTGGTTAACCTTATGAAAGTTGAGAAGGTTCCAGACTCCACATATGACATGATTGGTGGTCTTGACCAGCAAATTAAGGAAATAAAGGAGGTATGTATAGTGAAATAAAAAAACGAAACTGATAGTCACTGTTTTATATCCATCTGCTGTTTCATTCATTTATTTTATATATAATGTATCTTTAATTGTTCGTCAGGTCATTGAGCTGCCAATCAAGCATCCTGAATTGTTTGAGTCTCTTGGAATTGCGCAGCCAAAGGTACACATGCATTTCAAAGCTTCTCTATATTGTAACGAGAAGTTAAGTTGATTAGAAATAATTTCATCTCCCTCTTTTTATAGGGTGTGTTGTTATATGGTCCACCTGGAACTGGGAAGACACTTTTGGCTCGGGCTGTGGCACATCACACTGACTGTACTTTCATCAGAGTCTCTGGTTCCGAGCTGGTTCAGAAATACATTGGAGAAGGTTCTAGAATGGTCAGAGAACTTTTTGTTATGGCAAGGTTTGTATATGCTAGTCCCTATTATATATTTCAAGCACGGTAAATGGTGGTTGATAGGAGAAAATCGAATTGTTGACAAGATAAATCATTTTACTTGTCCACGTTTAGTAGTTGAAGTGGACATGTTGTGTTAAATAAATTGAGAAAAGTGTTTTGCTACTATGAATATCGTTCCATAGTGTAGTCGTCTCAAGGATGAATATCTTTCTATTAATTATTTTTCTGTAAGGACCAGAGTACACATAGATGAGATGATTGTGTTGAAAAATACTTTTGCTAGTTGGGCTTACCTTCCTAGTGGCACGGGTTTATGGTTATCAGGGAGCATGCACCATCAATCATCTTCATGGATGAAATCGATAGTATCGGGTCTGCTCGTATGGAATCTGGAAGTGGAAATGGTGACAGTGAGGTGCAGCGGACTATGCTTGAGCTTCTCAATCAACTTGACGGGTTTGAAGCATCAAACAAAATCAAGGTACGTGTTAAGTTGTAGAGGAAAAAATGATGAAGTTGAAATTTGCAGACAAACTCATTCACTCTCTTAAATGCTGTTGCAGGTTTTGATGGCAACAAATCGTATTGATATTCTGGATCAAGCGCTTCTCAGGCCTGGAAGGATTGATAGGAAAATTGAATTCCCAAATCCTAATGGAGATGTAAGCTTCTGCTTCTTTGAAAATTATATTAGAAGTAACTTTGCCTCAAGATGTTCGTTTTTGCCTACCGAAATCTTGTTTGTTTGGGAATGGTGTAATTTGAAAGGCTCTTTGTTGTATTCCTACAGTAATATAGGTTTTACATATTTGGAATTATTTGAGTGTATAGGTTATTGAACATGGTTGGCTAATGTATTTGTTTCTAAAATGTGCTGCAGTCACGTTTTGACATCTTGAAGATTCACTCGAGGAGAATGAATTTGATGCGTGGAATTGATCTGAAAAAGATTGCAGAGAAGATGAATGGTGCATCAGGTGCTGAGCTGAAGGTAAAGTGTTTTGTATTTC